GAGAGAGAGAGAGAGAGAGAGAGAGAGAGAGAGAGAGAGAGAGAGAGAGAGAGAGACTAAAACCAGAGCTAGAAATATTTCCTATTATTTCAAAATTATATGGGCGTATACTTATTGAGACTTGATATTCCACCAAAGGAGTAGTTGACACCATATTGATTTAGGTCCAATATATCAATATATAAAAAACCCAGACCATTCAAAGTGCCAATCAACCAGAGACCCAGTCAGCTGCTCAGAATTCAGATATGGTTCCAAACAATTGATCACACTGGCACACAAGACACTTATGAGCTCAAGAGAATAGGACAAGAAAATCCCATTGAGGATGTTACTTAGTTTGGTAACGAAACGTTGAGGAATTATATTAAAACAAGCTTGGAGAACAAACCACAGACAAAATCCAAAACCCCGAGCTACAAATATTTCCTACTATTTCAGAGAAAGAGAGAGAGAGAGAGAGAGAAAGTCAGATTTAAATCAGTAACAAAATTAGAATTGATTCCTTACCTTGTTTTCCGCATAGGCCAGCCACCGGCTTCCTAGAGCTATGGGGTTCATATTTGGCCCTGGACAAGGATAGCAACCTGAGAACAAAATATACAAAAAGTGGCATTATTGGAAATGGAGATAAAGAAGCACTCCTTCTCCACACAAAACTCTTGCCTGGAATGAAAAGAGTTGACAGGCCTCGTCGTCTTATTTAGCCCGAACGACTTTTCTTGTAGCCCAGCTTGAGAATTTGGATAAACAATTGAGGAGCAGAAAACAAGGCCCCGCTCAAGGAACTAGTGAAAAGACCACGTCCAGCGGTGGGATTCAGCCGGGTCGCACCACTTCGGCAGAACCGGTAGCTAATTTTTTTGTTGCCCAGGCCCAGAATGGACTTCCGGAAGCGGCATACACACAGAGAACCAGTGGTTCACCTCTTTGAATCCCACCACTTCTTTCTTTCTTCCTTCCTTCCTTCCTTCCTTCCTTCCTTCCTTCCTTCCTTCCTTCCTTCCTCCCTTCCTTCCTTCCTCCCTTCCAACCAATCTAGGCAGGGCATGCTACAGACAGCAAACCCCATTGTCTTCTAGCACTGATGATATTACCTAGGCAGGTAATGAGAGGTCTGCAAGAAAACAGGCACGTTCAGGGAACACCAAGGAACACCATATTTGATTTCCCAATTGGAAATAATGGGAAAAGATGTTGTCCCTGTTATTTATTTTAACTTGTGAAGCGGTTCTACAGCTATATTAGAACTTGCCGCTGATTGAGGACCACAATTTGAGTGCCTCTAGGCCCATTCTTCACTCAACAGAGAGACCCTTAAGTTGCACCAGGCCAGACCCCATTATAAAACCCAGACGTACTACACCAAGCAGGATTTCCATGGCAGAAACACCAGCAGTTTATTCCTGTTTAAACTTCATTTATGTGAAATGTGTCCACTGCCTTTCTCACTGGAACATCAAAAACTGTTCACAAAGATAAAAATTTCAAGATGCCTGCTGCTAACAAAAACAGGTCATAGTTAAAAGGCAAAAGAGATTCCTAAACTAAGAGCTGGGGACCAAGTAAGGAACTTAGAAACTTCAAAGTGGTTACTGATACATTTGGACTGAACGCCCCCCCCCCGAAGGTTTTTATGGAGTGTTGGAAAGCTAAAAATAAGAGTCCCGAGGAAGTGAGTTTTGATGTCTGGGTGAGATAACTGAAAAGGCCATGTCTTGTACAACTACTTGTTTCAACTTGAGGGTTAAGAGGGCAGAAGTAGAATTAGCAAAGGAAGCTGAAGCAACACACTAATGTACAGTATATTTTGGAGTAGGATATGCCAACCCCACTCTAATCATTATACTTATCAAAATACCATCATTACTTTCTATACATGTGTTATGCTGGAGAGCAACCATCCCACTTAGAAGGAGGGATCAAACAGGGAATTAGTCTAGACTCCTTACGTAGACACAAGAGGGCAAGGGGAGAGTCCTGTGAAACAGGCAGAGAACAATAAAGTAGCTAGTTTGATTCTGCTTGTTTGTGCCTGAAACATGGAGGAGGAGGGGGGAAGGAGGAGGGATGGAGAAGGAGGAGAAGAGATGGAAAAGGAGAAAGGAGGAGGGGGAGGAGGAGGAAGAGGAGGAGGAGAACAATGACTATGGGGTCCTTGGTGTTCTTTCCACTTGGTGGTTTTCTTGCAGATATTTCATTACCGTAACTATGAACCTTGGTGGCACAATGGTTAGAATGCAGTACTGCAGGCTACTTCTGCTTACTACCGGCAGCCAGCAGTTTGGCAGTTCGATTCTCACTGGCTCAAGGTTGACTCAGCCTTCCATCCTTCCGAGGTCGGTAAAATGAGGACCCAGATTGTTGGGGGCAATATACTGACTCTGTAAACAGCTTAGAGAGGGCTGTAAAGCACTGTGAAGCAGTATATAAGTCAGAGATGGCGAACCTTTTAGAGACCGAGTGCCCAAATTGCAACCCAAAACCCACTTATTTATTGCAAAGTGCCAGGGCCGCATCAGCATTGTGGTGTTCTCAGTGGGGGCGTGGCCCACTGGGTGGGCATGGCTGCGGTGGTCACAGCTGTGATGGTCACGGCAGACTGGCTGGGCGTGGCAGGGTGGGTGAGCTAAGACCAGGTTGACAGGGACCAGTCCCTCACCATCTCTGGGGCATCCCCAGGGGGCCAACCCCGCTTGCTCGCTCACTTCCTGCCCCGTTGCTTCCAAACGCCACATGCTCGCTACTCTGGCGAACTCTGCTGGGGCAATGGCATGGGTGCCCACAGAGAGGGCTCTGAGTGCCACCTCTGGCACACGTGCCATAGGTTTGCCACCACTGGACTAAGTGCTATTGCTAGGTAACATCATCAGTGCTAGAAGAGAGTGGGGTTTGGAAGGAGGAGGAGGAGGAGGAGGAGGAGGAGGAGGAGGAGGAGGAACACCCTTCACGTACTGAAGTCTGCCTTGTCCATGAACTTCAATCCTCAAATCTATAAGCTTCAACACTTATGATTGCTCTTCCTAGTTTAAAACAAATAACTGCACATTTGATCTCCTTGGTTTTTTCCCCCCCACTGGACATACATTCTGATGCAGCATAAAACCTTCATACAAAGTACAAAGGACAAAGTACTCATTGGTTGCAAAAACTCTGAAGTTAGAACTCTCTACTTTGGACAAGCCTGTATATCAGTGGTGGCGAACCTATGGCACAGGTGCCAGAGGCGGCACTCACAGCCCTCTCTGTGGGCACGTGCACCATGCCCCGGAGATGGCAACTGTCCCTCTTCAACCAGCCGCCTGCTAACTCGACGGGGTCCCACGTAGCCAGATGCATCATGACACGGCTGGTTTCCCCCCCCCCCCCCCGTCCCATCCGTCCTGGCCTCGCATGCTTTCCTTTTCCCGGGCACGACACACTGCATTGCCTCCTCAGCTGTCGGTCAGCCATCCAGCTCAGAGGCGGCTTCTTTGAACTGTTGGCGGCGAACTGCAGAGCCCCAGTGTGCACCCGTTGAGGGGCCAGCAGGCTGTGGCTGCCGACAGACACCATCGGCCTCCATGTGCTCGCTGGCCTCTGTGTGCGGGGGCCAATGGTGTCAGGCAGCAGCTGCCCAGGCTCTTGCCTTGCCCCATGGCAATGGCAACCCCACCCTGCCTCACCTTACCCCACAGGACGAGCTTCCTGCCTACCACCCCACCTGCCAGAGACTCCCTGGATCTCCCCCAACCCTGCCCACCCCCCACAGGCNAAATACGGCCTGCCTTCATGTACACTGTATATCAGTGGTGGCGAACCTATGGCACAGGTGCCAGAGGCGGCACTCACAGCCCTCTCTGTGGGCACGTGCACCATGCCCCGGAGATGGCAACTGTCCCTCTTCAACCAGCCGCCTGCTAACTCGACAGGGTCCCACGTAGCCAGATGCATCATGACATGGCTGGTTTCCCTCCCCCCCCCCCGTCCCATCCGTCCTGGCCTCGCATGCTCTCCTTTTCCCGGGCACGACACACTGCATTGCCTCCTCAGCTGTCGGTCAGCCATCCAGCTCAGAGGCGGCTTATTTGAACTGTTGGCGGCGAACTGCAGAGCCCCAGTGTGCACCTGTTGAGGGGCCAGCAGGCTGTGGCTGCCGACAGACACCGTCGGCCTCCATGTGCTCGCTGGCCTCTGTGTGCGGGGGCCAATGGTGTCAGGCAGCAGCTGCCCAGGCTCTTGCCTTGCCCCATGGCAATGGCAACCCCACCCTGCCTCACCTTACCCCACAGGACGAGCTTCCTGCCTACCACCCCACCTGCCAGAGACTCCCTGGATCTCCCCCAACCCTGCCCACCCCCCACAGGCATCCCTCCCCACGAGCAACACTGAGGTGACCACACCCACCTTGGCCACACCCACCCAATCTGCCATGACCACCACAGCCATGCCCACCCAGTGGGCCACGCCCACCTGGCACCCGGCGATAAATAAGTGGGCTTTGGGTTGCAGTTTGGGCACTCGGTCTCTAAAAGGTTCGCCATCACTGCTGTATATCATTATATTGAGTCTACGTGAGCTTAACATAGTGGCCCATCTTCTTGACATACAGCCTAAGTTCAATACATGGCTAGGCTAACTTACATCCTTTATGTTTATGTGGCTCTTAAAAAGTTGGCCGTCCATCATTCCTCTTGCCTTCTTCCACTTAGATTGGTTTTGCATTTTTCACACAGTTCTTTTTTTGCTCTTTTAATGAAAATGCCTATTTTCCTTAATGTTACCTCTCACATTTGGACTTAGTGCTAATGCAATGTTTCACCTGATTTCCTAAAAACAAACTTTGTAATCTTGCAGTACAAAAAAGAAAAGATTTATAGATTCTATCACATACTCCCCCAGAAAGGAATGGTCTTCCTTTTTTTGTCTTTTTTTTTAACAATGGATAATTGAGGTTACAACGATGCTTTTGGCAACTGTGTAATCTAACCACTTTTTTGCAAATTGCTTTTTTTTTGCAAATCTATGGATCCAAGCCCCTGTTTTGCAAATCCATATCTAATTGTGGCCATGAAATGCTTTAGGGAGTTAATGGCAGATAGCAATAAATGCTGGAGCATTTTAGACCATTACAGTATTCCAATAAATGCCAAGAGAAAGTAATTAACACATTTTATAACCCCGCATCTGCAAAGAGGGATAGAATTGATACTCAGCAGCTTCAGCAGTTTTTTTAAAAAGAGCTTTCAAATTTGGGTCCCTGGATTGTATCATCTAGCTCAGGGGTAGGCAACCTTGGCTCTTTTATGATTCGTGGACTTCAACTCCCAGAATTCCTGAGCCAGCCATGCCGAGGGGAAAGGGAGAGGTTTCCAAGCTGAGCCATGCTGGCTCAGGAATTCTGGGAGTTGAAGTCCACGAGTCATAAAAGAGCCAAGGTTGCCTACCCCTGACCTCACTATTCCAGCCTGCAATCATGGATGACAAGAAGTGAAAGTTTAGCTTCTACCATCTAATCCAGTGATTCCAAAATTCACAGGAAAATGCGTCTCTGATTAATCATTTGTCTTGAAAACTAGGAGAAACGAGGAGGCAAAAGAAACAGACT